CTGGCTCCCCATCCCAGGCACCCCCTTCCCTCCAGGGCCCCCGCTGACTGGCCATCAGGGGCCTGGGGAGGAGTCCACCAGATGAACAGAGGGGCCCTAAGATGCCGCCTGCCCCCACCTGGCAGCCTGGCACTAGATCTTCTCCCTGTGGCCACTTTTCTCCTTGTCACCCTCTTCCCAGAGGTGGTCCCTCGGAGCTCTTCTGTGGTCAGAACCAAGGCCCTGTCCTGGGGCTCTAGCTTTTACTGAGCTGGTGCTGCTGGCCCCGCCTTGCTCTGCCCACTGCTCCCACTGGGCCCTGGCACCTCCCTCCCACCACACCTGCCTGGGAGCCACTGTAGCCACATGCCGTTCATGGTACTTCTGATGTGGCACATATGGCCGGCTTCTGCGTCTAACCCACCAGTCCCCCAAACGGCCGGGTACTCCAAGAGCACAGCACAACTCTCTGTCCCTGCCTCAGGGACTCCAGAAGGGGGTAGGGCAGCGGCAGGGCGCTCCACTGCCCTCACCCAGGTCCTGAATCACATTTATTTACTAGCAGGACCCTTGGTATGATTTCCATGGAGGACACAGCCCCCCATACCCAAGGCAGGGGATCTTCAAGGCAGGGTACAGCCCAGGCGTCCCTGCCCCAGCCTCCCTCGCTAGCTGAGCGGAGGAATCCTAGTGGTCCAGACACATGAGACCTCAAGATGGTGGGCCATTGAGCCAACCCCCCACTGTGGCCAGAGAGCGGGAGGGGTCTTCACCAATGGCCAGTGGAGTTGGTCCAGGACAGAAGTGAGAGGCTGTGCCTGGGGTCAGCACTGAGTGAAGGTTAGGACATCTGGACTCCGGGGGTCACCAAATCCCAGTGCCAAGACCACAGCCTCCCAGCATGGTGTCTGTGGCACCCTCTGCCGTTGCTTCCACTCCTTGGGCTGGTCCCCTCAGGCCGCCATCACGGGCTTGTTCCCTACGCCCGCCCCTCAAATGTGCCTGTTCCCCAGGCCTGGCACCCTCCCCTGCCATCTGCTCTCCTGGGCAAGCTCCTCCACTCCGGGGGCTCCGGCTGTGCTCACATCCCGGCTCATCCTCCTGCCCAGACCCCTGGCCAGAGCCCCAGAGCCTGGGACCTGCCTGCTTCTCGGGCCTCTCTGGCTGGGAGGCTCATCATGGCTGAACCTGAGCCCATCACCTCCCACCCTGACCCTCCCCCTTCCCCCCTCCCGTGTTCCCTGCCTCTGAGAACAGCACAGCCAGCCACCCAGCTCCTGAGTTAGAATTAGGAATCATCCAACGCACAGTCATTCTCGACACCTCCCTCTTACCCCCACATGGGATTGGTCATCAACTCCTATGGGTTTCATCTTCGAAAAGGATCCCCACGGGCGCGCTTCTCTCAGCCACGGTGGCAGCATCTTCGGGCAGGGCCTGGCTCCTCTCGGATTCCCACAGCTGCGCCCACTCCTCTGGTCCATTCCCCACACCCTCCGCCACCAGGGAGACCTTCCTAAAGGGGAGCCCACCCTGCCCAGACTCTTCCCCGCTGCCTGGTTGCCCTCAGATGAAATGCTGACACCTCCGCCTGGCCTGGGCTTCGAGCGCCTGCCTGTCCCAGCCCCACCTCCATTTCTTGCCACATACCCCACATGCCCAACACTGCCCACCGCCAGCAGGCCGTGCTGGCCCGCGAGTGCTTTTCCTTCTCCCAGCGAGTTTTTCTTGCCCTCTCCTCAAAATCCTCCCTTCCCCTCCTGGCCCACCTCCTCTGAGAAGTCCTCCTTCCCTGCTCTTCCACTAGTCCATGCTGACTCCGCCCCCTCCCCAGTTTCCATGGCACTTTTCTCTCTGGGATCCATCTGCTTTTCTATCTGCTCCTCCCCTAGACTTGGAGCTCCTCAGGGGCATGGGCTGATCTTCTCCATCTCTGTGTGCCCAGCCTTGGTGGATGGAGTTGGCGGCCACACACATCTGCTGGCTTGAAGGCTGATGGAGTTGAAATGAGAGAAAGAGCCATGCATGCCAGCTCTGTCCCCAAGTCCCTGCTCCTGGGTGCCCCAGTCACCTCCACCCAGGACCTTCCCACTGCCTGCATCTCGCCCCTGCATCCCTCCCACCAGCTGCCCTCAGCACAGTGGGGAGCCTGGGGGAGCCCGGGGGTCCTGGGTCTGTGACAGCCTCCACTGGGAGGGTCACTGGGCCAGCCCTCTCCAGGGAGTGAGCCGAGTGGCCGTGGCCCTGGCCCGTGGCCCTCCACTGTGGTGGTGAGCAGCAGCCTCTCCCTCCGATTTTCATGCGGGCCTCGGTGCTTCAGTGAAAGCCGGCATGGGAAGTTGCTAATAATGGCACTAAAATAAAATATGCTACATCTGTTATGGGTAGCAGAACAAAATTAGCTGCTCACACCTCTGACATCCAAGATGTCTTAACTTAAAATACTCCTTGGCTTACTTTACATCATTTACTGATTATATTTAAAAGAAATACAATTTTGCAATTACTGTTCTTTCCAGCGTGATATCTATGCATCATTTTCCTTTTATGTTTATATATTTCTCCTTCATTAGTGCAGTCTGAAGGGTGATTAGGATTCTTCAAACATTTTACAGAGGTTAAACGTTGATTAAGATTTAATTATTACTGTAAATAGCTTGGAATGACATATGGTGCAAAAGCCTGACATATGTGCATTTGAATAAATGAAGTGCTATTTCCCAGGATGCCTCAGTAGCTGTTTAACAGCTTTCCCGAAGGGTTATGTTACACCTCATGGTAAGATTGCTGGGATGTTATATTTTGTTGGTTTTTGCAGCTGAAAGCTAAGAACAGTTTTCCAGTTTTTTAAAAACATTGAATATTTTAAATACCTAAATTGTTTTGCACAAATTTTTGCTAATTTGTCTAACTAGGTTAAACATTTTCAAAAGCATTTAGATTTTTAAGCGTGGGCGCTGTGCATTGTGTCAGTGGCAGCGTGGGGACGAGGCGAGCGGGTGGAGTGGCGGGAACTCGGAGGCCAGCAGGGGTGGGGACGGGGGAGGTGGTTTGAGGCGAGGGGGTGGGGAAGAGGCCCAGGCCTTCAGCCTAGCTCTTGTCTCTTTGGCCCTCTCAAATGGCCAGAGCCTGGGTATTGGGGTACCTGGGACTATAGAGGAAGGGTCCTCCTTCTCCAGAAACTGCTATGCCCACCACCCTAGCCCACATCAAGCCCCCTCTTGTCCGGCCTCTGACATGTGCAGCCTGTGTTCCACCGAGTTCTTTGCAGCCAGCGCTGGTCTGTGGCACCCTGTGCCTGGGCCCCAGGGTCTCCGGCCAGAGCACCATTAGGTGGCAGCATGGTGGGCTGGATTGGGGCAGGGGTGGATTCAGTTCCATTTTAGATAGGTTCCGTTAAGGTGCCTAGGGAGACATCACAGGAATGTTCAGTAAGCAGTCCATTGTGGGCCCAAGACTCGGGGGGGTGGGGGGGCGGGGATGTGGCTGGAGACTCCTCAAATCTGGGAGTCGCAGGGAAGGTTGTGTGTGCAGGGAAGAGAGCCCAACCAGGGACCCTGAAAAGTGTCCAGTGGATGTCACACACAAAAAAGGGGGGTTAGCACTGACCTTGGAGAGCAAGATTTTTGGGGGAACGTGGTGGGAACGGAAGCCAGATTTCCTGTGGGTTGAAAAGCCAGTGGGAGGTGAGGAGGTGGAGGTGGCTACAGCTGTAGATAGTGCCTTAAAGGAATGTGGTTGCTGGGAGGAGAGACACCGGGCAGAAGCTGCACAGTGTGACATGGGGTTGAGGGGAGGTCTTTCTTAGACAGGAGGTGCTGGTCTGTGTGGAAATGCTGGAGGGCAGGAGTCAGCAAGAGAAAAGGTGGGGAAGAGGGAGGGCAGCCCAGGAGTGGGCTCCTGGAGTGGACGGGCGAGGTGGGCTTATGGGAAGACCTCTGAGGGGAGGGTGGGGTAGCAGGAGGGCAGGTGTGGAGCAGCGTGTGGACACCGTAGGCCGTGAGTTTACGATGGGAGATGGGACATGAATGGGTCCCTTCTGACACCTTCTGTTGTTTTCCCTGAGGTAGTGAGGAGGCTCATCTGTCAGGGTGAGGGGGAGCTGAGGATGAGGAGGCCTGTGGAGAATGGGAGAGCGGGGTGACTGGCGATGTGGCCAGCGGGTGAGGGTGCTGCTGGCTACTGTGAGGATCCAGCCAAAGTCATGGACCCTGAATGTTGAATGTCTCCATTAGGTGGTCAGGTTCAAGTGGAGACAAGGAGACTGCATGGTGGGTTTTCTCCAAAGCCAGGCAGGGCTGGAAGGACCTGGGGCTGAAGTGATAGCCCTTCACGTCCAGGTTAGAGGAGGAGAATGGGAAGCTGAGCCCTGAGGTCTCGGTGGTCTAAAAACAGACAGGGAGCCTGTCTGGCCTGGTTCAGGGGTAAGCATCGGCCTATGAATCAGGGGGTCATGGTTCGATTCCCAGTCAGGGCACATGCCCGGGTTGTGGGCTCAATCCCCGGTAGGGGTGTGCAGGAGGCAGCCGATCAATGATTCTCTCTCATCATTGATGTTTTTCTCTCTCTCTCCCTCTCCCTTCCTCTCTGAAATCAATAAAAATATATATTAAAAGAAAACAGACAGGGAGAGTGAGTGGGGTGCTGGAATGATTGGGGTCTGAGAGAGTAGGGTTTGGATTTAAGGAGTTTGGGCAGAGCAGCCCTGGGTGGTGACCAGGTCCAGGGCGTGGGCCTGGGAAGGGATTTGTGCAGCACAATGGACAAGGTATTGGAGAGAAATACAGAACTCAGAGGCCAGAGCATAGCATGCTCACCTGCATGGTCACACGGTCCGAGGAAGAGGCCTGGGCAGGAAGGGATACTGTGAGCCCCTTGGCAGGAGGGCAGAAAAAATTCAAGATGGGGTGCCAGGGACAACTGTGGGCTCGAGAGCAGTCCTAACTGCTACTCCCAGCCTCCCCACTCACCCCTCCCCTCTCATCCCCCTTACCTTTCCTCCCTCTGTTCTCTCTTCTCAGATCGAAACATCCCAGTTAGAGCCTGAGATTGCCCGGGCCACCAGCAGCCGGACAGTGGTGTACAACAAGGGGCTGTGAGTGGTGGCCGGCTGGCCTGGGGATGCAGCCTTGTCCAGCCTGGGGAGCTGGGGGCGGGGCAGGGGTCTCGTGAGTAGTGCCTGCAGGGAGGGCAAGCTGGCCCCACCAGTCCTGGCCCACCTGGGGGTGGGGGGGGTCTCCATCCACAGTGGTAGGGAGACTAATCTATTCACCTGTTAACATAAGGGAGAGGAATTCTGACACATTTCCTATAAAAATAATCAAGTGCATTTCTGGGCCTTACGTGGGGTTGCCAAAACTCTACTCAGCACAATTATGTGTGAAGCTGAAAAATTGTAGAGTGCCCACAGGGTAGAATTAGGATCCTTTTATACTTTTTATTTTTATTTTTATTTTTTATCAGCATCAAGCCTTGGTTGCAGCTGCCCAGATGCTGCTAGCAGGTGGTCTGGTGGTGGGAGTAGGGGTAGGCCTGCGGCGAGCTGGCTGGCTTGGTGGTGGGGCTGGTAGATTTGAGATATTGCTGTGGCCAAGACCGACGTCTCCCTGGGTGTTCGGGGGTAGGGAAGGGAGGGGAGGCAGTCTGCACCTCGCCGGATGAGCCAGCTATGACTAAGGTCCTCAGGAGGTGGCCCAGGAAATCAAGGAGCACTGGAAGTCTCTGGAAGGTTCCATGGGCAGCTGGCTCTGAGTGTGGCCGGCCTTCAAGATCCAGGCCACACCTGCAGAACCGATTCCTCTACATGAAGCCCAGTGGCACACCGGCTGGCATCACCCTTCATGGAGCCCTGAGATATGGGAGGCCCCTGAGATGACCCCAGCTCCAGGCAGGAAGCCCCAAGAAGGAACGATGTTGGGCAGGAGCCGGGGGCATGCAGCCCGGCCTTTGCAGGAAGATCTTCCTCCCTGGCACCAGGCTGGAAGCTGGGCATTAGGGCCGAGTGTGGGGCTGGAGCGGGAGGGCCCCGGGCCTGAGAGTACAAAGGCCAGATCTCCAGGCACCTATCGGAGAGGAAGCATCAACCCAGGGATCAAAGCAGGCGCTGGCTCTGGCCGGCGGCGTAACCTTGGACAAGCCCGCTTCCTTCTCCGAGCCTCCACCCCCATGTCTGGAGCCCGAGGACTGGATCAAGGGATTCCCGCCTGCTCGTCCAGCTAGATCCTGTCTTTGCCTGTCCCGCTCAGATGCTGGTCATCGCAACACGGACACTGGACTGGGAAAGGGGCGGGTCCCTGTGGGCATGGCCAGCAGTTGGCCTCAGGACCCGGACTCTGCTGTTCTGTATGTGACCCCACCTCCTGGGAGCACTGGGCCTTTGCCAAACACTTTACAGTTGTGAAGGAGCAGGTAGTATGGATGCCTGGGCTGGAGTGGGGAGCCACACCCACATGCCGCCTCTCACCCTGCAATGGCCTCTGAGGCCCCTGGCTGCCGGCTGCTGCCTCCCTTCCAGTGCGGGCCAGGAAAGGGGAGAGCTCTGCAGAGGCAATCAGGGCCTGGGTGGGGTGAACAGGGTAATCTCTCGTCTGAAAGGCCCCAAAAAGAGGACACATGGGTCTCAAGGTATCTCTCACCTGGTCCCAACTGGAATGAGCCTTCAACATGCAGCCTCAGGGCTCCCCTGCCCTGGTGCCTGACTCTGCCTGGGGAGACGTGGCTGGGGGTGGACAGGTATGTGCAGGGAAAGGCAGTGCGGGGCAGTGGAGGCCTGGCCACAGGCTCTGCTCCCCTTGGGGTGGGGGAGTTGTGGTGAGGTGGGTCTTCTACAGGCACTGGCCCCAGACCTCCCACCAGAAGCCCCTGCTGCCCTCACCTCCCAGCCAGCTCTGTAGGGTGCAGCCCTAGGGCCCCCACTCTCCCAAGGAGCAGCCCACCCACTGCCCGTCAGGAAGGGGAGAGGCAGCGACATGCATGAAAGACAGAGCAGCAGAGGTAAGGGATGCCTCGGTGTTGGAGGGTCAGGTATTTTTGCGTTACTCCCGCCATAATGTGAACGTGCCAGCGACTGGGGCCTGGGCACGTCTGGGGCCTCTTTTGCAAACTCACTCCAGGCTCACCCCACCTCACCTCTTATTGGATCTTTTTTAAAAAACATATATTTTTAATTAATTTCAGAGAGGAAGGAAGAGGGATAGAGAGACAGAAACATCAATGATGAGAGAGAATCATTGATTGGCTGCCTCTTGCACGCCTCCCACTGGGGATTGAGCCCACAACCTGGGCATGTGCCCTTGACCAGAATCGAACCTGGGACCCTTCAGTCTGCAGGCTGATGCTCTATCTATGGAGCCAAACCAGCCAGGGCTTATTGGGTCTTATTCTTGCGCACTTTACCTTGGGACCAAAACTGCTCCCCCCAGCTCTACCCCCACCCTCTCCAGAGGCCTGGCAGAGATGGGATCTCTCCATCTCCCTCTGGGCTGGCTGCCCCGGCCCATCCCTGTGGCCCCTGCATCTCATAACCTATTTGCTGTATCTCCTAGATGATTTCCGGTGATGCTCCCAAATGCAGTTTCAGGTGACTTCAGGGGGCTCCTCCTGGTAGGGGTGGTGGCAGCGAAGGATCCTTATAGCTCAGGGTGACGGTGTCAGAGATTCAGCGAGCCGTGCTGCTAGGCCCTGGTCTGGCTGCGGAAAACACCACGAGGGGAAACTTTCAGTTCACATCCAGCCCCTCTCATCTGAGGCCAGAGGAAGGGAGGCCTCATGGGAAGATGGTTTCATGTCTGGGGAGCAGGTTGAGTCAGGGCAGGGCTGGCCCAGCGGTGCCAGAATCCAGGCCATACCTGCAGCCGTTTCTCCAGCTCTGGTTTATCTGCCTGGCCCTCCTCTGGTCACTTCGAACATTCCTAAAGGCTTGGGATGCCCCTCTCCCGTTTCCAGAGAACAGTCTGCATGTGCAGGGACCAAAAGCCCAAGATGTCAGGATGGCTGCTGAGTCAGGATGGCCAGCATCCCTCCCGTTCCACCTCCTGATTGGGGAGGAGGTGGGGGAGGGCTGAGTCCTGTCCTGGGCCTCTACCCTGGCAGAAGGGTGGGGTTCTGAGAGGAAACAGGCCCGTGGACAGAAGCAAGGTGGTTTCCCAGCCCTGGGCCTCGGTCATACCTGGGTTACTTTGCAGTGTCTTTTTAACCTTCTCAGAAAATTTCTCAATCTCTGTGATTTGTGTACTACTAATGAACTGTGGGCAATAAATGATGGATTTAAAGCATCAAGGCTTGGCTTTGTGAATTATGGGTGGAGAGGTGGGAGCAGGGAAACACAGTAGGAACAAGCCAACGGCTAGGCGAGGATTTTATGGGTAGGCCCCTGTGGAAGACGCGGACCCAGGCTCAGGAGGGGTCAGAGGGGAGGGTAGAGGGAAGGACAGAAGAGCGTGTGAGGGCAGGAAGCTGGACAACGGGGATGAATTGAAACTCTGCAGAAGGAACCCCCTTGGCAGAGCGGTTGCTTGGCACTTACTAAGGGCCCCACTGCAAGGAACTAGAGTAGAAAAGGGATTTCGGTAGATTCTCCTACTGTTTGTGTCAAGGGGACTAGAAGGGAGAGTGGTGGTGGTGGTGGGGGGGGTGTCATTCTGGGCTGCCTGGGGGCCAAGAGAGGCTACACAGGGTGGAAAGGTTTGAGCCAAGTGGAAAGGTACCTTTTGTCCACAGTGTGTCCAGCACCAGCCCTGAGGACTCTGCCCCTTCTAACTCCTCCACAGTCCCTCAGGGCCAGGCCTTGGCTGCCTCCTGACAGCTCTGGGACCTCCAAGCATCTCCCACTCGTGCAGGGTGACCATGCAGTGGAGGTGGGGTTTATTGTTGGGGTCTGGCCAGCCCGGATCCCGGCCCCAGCTTGGCCCCAGCATCACTCATTCACCCATTCCTTGGGTCAGATGTGTGTGGAGCATATTCTGTCTTAGAGTCGTGGTGTCCTTAGCGAAAAAAGCCAGACACAGCATCGTTCGCTGCACTGGTGGACAGAGGTTAGAGGGACTAGGTGAGGAACTCACCCAGACTCTCCTCTCACCTCCCCAGTGTCAGGGGTGCTGGGCCTCCCTAGGAGGGTGGAGGAGGGAAAGGGGTGGGGGAAGGGTCTGATCCACAGTGATACTCCTGGGTCAGGGGGCTTCTGGTCTCTGGGGAATTTCTTTGCTAAGAGCCCCACTGGCCACAACCCCCATCCGGGTGTCGGAAATCCTTGACTCTCGGGACAGACACAAATCCCTCCTGGGAGCTGTTTGTTGTTTTTAGCTGGTCTGGGGTCTCAACTCCTGCCCTGCCCAGAGATCATTAACACTCCAGGAATGTGGCTCCCACCCGCTGGCCCCTGGGGCCTCCCTCCTCCCACTCAGGCCGTGGTTAGAAGGAGAGTCTGAATGCTGGGGGATGAGGGCAGTGATGAGTGACCCTTTCCCAAGGCGCTGGGGAGCCTCGCCTTAATTTCAGAATGCAGCTTCCCCCAGTCCCCAGAGCTGCTGCTGCTCCTGCCAGCTCACCCGTCCCCCTGTCACTGGCTAGCCTGCCCCGCTATTGTTTTTAAAGTCATAGACTATACATACATATAAAGTCACTTTGACCGCCCCGCATGCCCATGCTTCCAGGTGACTCTCTGGGCCGTAGCCGAGAAGTGTTCCCTCTCCATGCCCCACTCTGAGGTGCACTAGCTGCTGGCAGCCTTGTCTAAGATCTGAGTCTGGCTCCTTCCCCACAAGGAGCAAGAATCTGGGCTCCCCCCAGTTCCCTGGGCCTTATGGAATGATGGAGAGAAGGAAGGGGAGAACGAAAATAGGAAAGAGAAGGTGGACAAATGGGCAAGCAGGCATAGGCAGACGACACCCCCTTGAAGAGCCCATGCAATTCAGCGAGGCAGTGAGGGGAGGGGCGGACCCCGGCCACCTGAGCTGGTTCTCCTCTGCCCAGGTGAGCCTGGCAGAGGGAGGGACAGTAAGCAAGGCCCTCGCTCCGTCCAGGGTTGAGCTGCCAGAGGCTCAGTTGTTAGAGAACAGGGGCAAGACGCCGGAGGTGAAACAGGGCCAGCTGCTGCAGGGCCAAGGACAGCTGGGAGCCATCAGAGGCTTTCAGTGGGGAAGTGGATTCATCTGGCAACAGAGTGGAGTGGAGCCTGGACTCTGGCAAGACTGCCGGGGAGCCCAGGGAAGAGGCCACTGTGGCAGCCCAGGTGAGGGGACATGGGGGCTGGGCCAGGTCATGGGATGGGGATGGAGAGAAGTGAAGACATCACCACTGCTCAGCTCTTGGTGATTGGCTGTGGGGAAGAGGAGGAGTCAAAGATGGCCCCAAGTTCCCCGTTCGGGCAGCTGAGGACATGGATAGTGGTGCCATTTCTTGGTGCTAAGGAACAGAGAGGGAAGAACAAATTTGCAAAGGAGGTAATACGCTCTGTTTTACAAGTTAATAGAGGTTCCTGCAAGATAAAAAGTTGAGATATCAAGACAATGAATGAGTGCTTGTCTGGAACTCAGGAGGCAGTTCGAGATTGGATATGCAGACTGGCATGTTGTCTATTTATTGACAGCACCTGGAGCTAAACGGGCAACCACCCAGGGTAGCATGTGAGGTGAGAAGAGGAAGGTCTGGGATGTTACCTTGAGGAGTCCCCATCTCTGAGGCCTGGACAGAGAGACAGGAGGCTGCTAAGAAGTACAGCCCCAAGAAAAGTGTTATGGGCTGAATCGTGTCACCCCAAATTCATGTGTTGAAGTCTTAATTCCCCAGAATGTGACTGTATTGGAGGTAGGATCTTTAAAGAGGTAAGTAAGGTAAAATGAGGTCATTAGGGTGGGTCCTAATCCAATATGACCGGTGTCCTTATAAGAAGAAGAAATTTGGACACAGACAAGCATCAAGGGAGGATTCTATGTGAACAGGAAGATAGTCATCTGCAAGCTAAGGAGAGAGGCCTCAGCAAAAACCAACCATGCTGGCACTTTGCTTATGGGCTTCCGGCCTCCAGAACCGTGAGAGGAGGAGTTGTTTAAGCCACCCCACCTGTGGTGCTTGTCATGGCAGCCCTAGCAAACTAAACAAGAGGTAGGAGGAAGATAAGGAGAGCATGGTATTCCAGAGGATGAGCATCCTTCAAGCAGGAGAAGCTGTCCACATGCTTAGTCGGTGCTGAGAGTTTAAGGAAGATAAAGACCAAGGACCTGCAGAGAAGGACCTCAGTGGAGTGTGGTGAGGGCAAAAGTCAGATCTTCCTGGGCTGAGAAGTTAGCAGGACGCCCACTGAGTGCCTATTAGGAAATTCTGAAATTCTTGTGAGGTGGGCAGAGAGACATAATGGCTGCAGCATGACATGGGGCTAAGGGAGGGCTTTAGACGGGAGACTCTCGGGCCTGTGGAAACTCTAATGGGTGAGAGTGGAAGAGGCTGTAAAGGCAGAGAAGAAAAAGAGCCACCCAAAAGAGAGGTCCTCCAGGGTGCAGGGAGGATACTCCTTGAGGAGAGAGGAGCCTTGGGTGGTAACAGGAGGCAGGTGGAGAGGATGGGTTGGAAGCAGGCCATGAGGGTGTGAGTGCGGGAAGTTGCGGGGTGAGAGGCTAGCTTCCCTGGGCCCTCCACATCAGCTCTGCACCCTTCGCCATCAGCTCTCCATCCCAAAGGCTGATTCAAATGGATGGCTCCCACCACTGGGAGTCACCACTAGGAAACGGTGATTGGAGGAGAGTGAGACTGGGGGATTTACCTCCTCCCTGCCCACCTCCCCCCATTTCCACTGCAGTCTGCGGGCCTCCTGCTACTGAAGGCTGCAGCCCCAGCTGGGGCCCTCTCCGCCCAGCTGTCCTCTCAGGTTCTGGTAACTGCTCCTGCCTCTTACCAGGGCTGTGTGGGCTCCCCGTTGTTGCTAGCCTTGGGACACTGCAACATCTCTGCTGGCTTCCCAAAATTCAGTATTCCACTCTCCTCTAAGTGCCCCACTTGAAGGGGCCGTCTCTTCCTGCAGGCCCCTGACTGAGAGGAAGGGGTTCTCTTCCTCTGCTGCCCTTTTCTCTCTGAAGATGAAAATCAAGTCCCTCTGCTGAGGGTGAGGGAGAGGAGGTAGGAGGAGGAGGATGACGGTTTGAGACGTCCCCTATGGCAAATGAGAGTGGACTTATCAACAGGGGTGAGCCTCAGCTGAGGCTGGGATTTCGACCTCCAGGGGGGGCCATCGAGCAAGCTTGCCTGGTGTCCTTACGGACTGAGCTGCAAGGGCAGACAAGGAAACAGGTTCAAGCAAGTTTGGGATTTTGCCAGGCGGGTGCAACTGAGGAACAGTGGGACAGAGAGTGTTGGAGAGAGAATAGAGGAGCCCGCAGCAGGGGAATTTCATGAGGTCAAAGCGCGGAGGAGGAGGAAAACAGTGAGTGAGCCGGAAGAACATGGGGCCTGGTGGGAAAGGACAGCTGAATGTGGGATTTGAGAGCAGCCACAATTCTGGGGTCTGATGAGGCCTGAGAGTGGGTGGTGATGAGGTGAGAGGGAATGAGAGGCTGGGGCGCTGGGTGGGGAGGTCTTGGGGAGACAGGAAGACCATAAGCTGGTGGCCACAGTCTTTGACAAATGAGGGGGTACAGCTGGGACATGCAGCCACAGACTGCCCATGCGCACAGCCGACCGCCCACACACACCCACACAGTCACACTCATGCACACACGCCCACAGCCCTCCCAGACCAGACAGACACCCTCACATGCACTCACCCTCACACACGCCCCAGACAGCAGATGGGGCGCTCGGGTAATTGGTTAAACCTGTTCTGATGTCTGGCTCCGAATTGGCAGCACCCGTCTGACAGGAAAGCTGGCTGGGCCTGCTCTGCTCAGCCTGCTGGCCGCCCTGCCCCTCCCCTTGCATGGCTGCCCTGGAGCACGGGCTCTAGGAGAGGCCTGTGGGCCCAGCCTGGCTCCCTCCTGGCCAGAACCCTGGTCGCCAGGCGAGAGTTCCCCAGAGCCCCACGGGAAGCAATCACAGCCCCGGTGAGGAGGAGCTGGTGTAAGCCAAGCGCAGAGATGCTAAGAGCATGAGCCATGCGGCTGAGGAGGCCCGAGGGACCAATCCTGGAAAGTTTCGAGGATAAGAGGATGTGTAAAGACCCTTCCCTGGATGTGAGGCCCAGGGCTTGGGCCACAAGAGTTACGAACAGCTCCCCGGGATTGGTATTCCCTCCTCTTCAATGCATGCAACGTGGGTTCTCACAGGAGCTCATCATCCCACAGCCCACTGGACTCTGCAGGGCCCCTGAGGCCAGCACGGCCGAGGGCTATGGCCCAGCAGGTTGCTTCAGGGAAGGTCTGACCGGCAGCTCCTGTCCACCATCCTCACCCCTGCAGGCCCTGATCTCCAGGGGGAGGAGTGGTCGGGGAGGGAAGGGAGCATCATTCCGAGGCTTCTGCTCCCCTTCCTGGCTGCATCTGTGTGTCTTTGAGAGAGACTTTGGTTTGTTCCCTGGAGAGGGCCCAAAAACTCCCAAATTAGCAAACCTGGCAAGCCCACAGCTCAGAAAATAGTTCATCCTGATTCCATGTTTTTCAGGCTCACAGAAGCCTTTATTAATGAAGTCACAACACCAATATTTACCGTCTGTGGGGAGAGGCACAACACGGGGGACGGATGGGAGTGCTCGGGGACTCCCGCCCCGCCCCCCGCAGGCCTGGCCTAGGAAGATTGGCAGGTTTCCTTGGGTCCTTTCCAGCTCTTTATCGGGATGACAGGGGGTGCTCTGCTGTGATTTCC